CCACATCCCACGGCTTGGCACCCGCAGGCATCACACCTAGCCCACCCACGGCCTCTCACCCTCTTCCCTGCCTTTTGGAAGCAATGGCCGCTGCAGCCCCTCCCTCCCTAGCCCTGGCATGAACCACCTGGTGAAACAGCAAAGAAGGCAGCTGGAAGCCTTCCCCACCTGGTCCCCCACACCTGCGCCCAGAGGGCAGGAGAAATGTCTGGGATGAACCTGCATAAAGTCTCTCTCCACCAGAGGCCCGGAAAGCAACACCCCACTGAACTTCAAAATGCTAAAGGAGCGCACACCTGTAATCCCAGCCCTCTGGGAGGCTGAGGCAGGAGGATAGCAAATTCAAGCCCAGCCTGGGCACCTTAGCAAGACCCCACTTCAAAAAAATTAAAAAAACAAAAAAGGTTGGGGTTGTAGCTCAGAGAAAGAGTCCCCCTGGGTTGGACCCACAGTACTGCAAGAGAAAAAAGAAATCCAAAGGGAAGGGGTTCCCCTCCAGCGCCCACAGAAGCACTGGTACTGGTACCATTCAAACTTCTCCCTCAGAGGGGACCTCAGCCCCACCCACAGCGCCTGCCCCAGGAGCTCAGTTCCCACTTCCAGCCCTAGGGGCAGGCAAAGGGGCAAGACCTTGGCCTCCCCCAGCCATCTCTCCTTTCTGGGTTGGAATTAGCATTTTTATCTCTGTAACTGCCATCTCTCAACTATTTACAGAAGCCAGCAGGATAAAAGAGGCAACATAAAAATAGTCGCTCAACAGCTTTCAGGATGGGGTGGGGGCGGGGGCACCACAGAACCTTCCCATTTTCCTTCTCTCTATCCAAAGGGAAAGGGTGCTAGAATTGTTCATCCTTCCCACAGACAGGTCACGGCCGCTCATCAGGGAGCCCTTAGGAGACAGAGGCCAGGTTTCAGGGTTCCTCAGTTCCCCAGATCCCTAAAGGAGGAGACTAAGTCAAAGATCACCAAGTTTCCAAGCCAGTAAAATTCAAGCCCTGGCCCGGCCTGCCTGTCACCCCTGGGCCTCCTTCCAGCCTTCCAAAATACAAGCCGGCCAAAACAGCAGAGCTCTGGCTTCTCTCTGTGCTTCAAATGTTTCATCACTGAAAAAATAATTCAGCACCAACACAACAAACACAACCAAAATTAAAAACACTGACACCTAAAATGATCCCTTCCCGTTTGCTCTGGGATGTCCCAGGCAGGGGAAACCAGAGCATGGGGACCAGATGGCCCCTCTGCAAGGCCAATGGCATTCACCAAGTTTTCAAGACAACTTTCACTGTTATGGATCTGGGATTACAGATGTGTGCCAATGCACTCAGCTACAAATCTTACTTTTCATATAAGACAACTAGTATGAAAATTACTTCCAACCCCAACATCCTGGGGAATGTGGCCTGTGCCCCATAAGAAAATGGATCCCATTTGCCAGCCCTCGGATGGAGGCCCAGAGGGCTCAGGATTGGAAGGTTCACCTGCAAACCATACAGACCCAGGGGACCTCAATTTCCTCGTCTGTAAAATAGATCCACTGTGCTCTAACCCGGAGCATGGCCACAGCATGGATCTCCACTATGGGCATGCCCAGCACCCGGGGACAGAGAACACCCCACAGACATTCCTGTGGCTGCTCTGCACACTCCCCACCTGTGAATTGGCAGGGCTAGGGCACAGGTCCTGCTAGGCTCCTCCCGAAGCTCTGTCCCCTCCCCAGTGCCCACTCCAGGCTGTGCCATCAGGAGTGATGGGCTGACTCCGAGTCTGGGAAAAGTCTCACAAAATATAAACCCATAAAAGCACAAAGGGACCTACTGTGAACAAATCAGGCTCAGTGAAAAGAAGGGAAAGGAATGACACTTGGGCTGTCCAGGGAAAACCACACCCTACAAACCACCACCTTGAGGGGATGCAGGAGGCAATGGCCTTGGAGTTAGGGGAGCCCCGAAAACCTTGCTCTAAGAACCTGGACCTTAATCGAGTTAAGAAACGTTTTCTTCTATCACACTCACTCTGCAAACAAACTGACAAAACTATGTCTTTTATTTTTTATTTTTTTTATTTTTTTAAGACAGGGTCTCCCTATGTAATCCAGGCTGTCCTTGAACTCACTGCAGTCCTTCTGACTCAAGACTCCTGAGTCCTGGGGTTACAGGCGCGCCACACCCTGGCAACAAAACCCTGTTTAAAAAGGGCCGAGGGTGGAGCTCAGTGGTAGAGTGTGTGCTTAATGTGAGTGAAGCTTTGAGTCTGATCACCATCACCGAGAAAAGGAGGAGGAAGAACAGAGGGAGGAAGAAGAGGGAGAGGAAGAAGAGAGGGAAGAAGGCCTATGAGTCTCCATTAACAGGTCAGGGAACAAGCACAGTCTGAAAAAAAACGCAATTTCTTCAAGTTCCAAAAAATAGGCCTGCTGAGGGTGCAGACTGCGTGGGCGCCCTAGCCTGCACCTCTGCTGGGTTCTCTCTCTGCCTACAAGGAACACATCTGGAAAAGACAGCTGTGGAAGGCTCACCCCGACTCAGAGGACAATGTGAATGGCATCTGCCCCAACCTCCTGGATGGCGCAGGAAATGAGGTCCCCTCATCTCCCACAGGCAGCCACAGGCAGCGGAGGAGGGGTAGGGAGGGAGGGACACTGGAGGGGACCCTGAGCAGGTTACTCAGCCTCTCAGACCTTCCATAAAACAGGTTCACAGTGAGGTGAGACTCTACAGCTCAAATTCAGATTTGAACCAAGCCAGGTCCAGTGGCAAATGCCTGTCATCTCAGCAGCTAGGGAGGCTGAGGCAGGAGGATCCCAGGTTCAAGGCCATCCTGGACAACTTAGTGAGACAACTTAGTGTCTCAAAATGAAAAATGAAAAAAAAAATGGGGATGTAGCTCAGCAGTAGGGTGTTCCTGGGTTCAGTCCCCAGTACCATAAAAAAAAAAATTGCTTTTGAGCCAAAATGTCTCAAACCTAGACTTGGCTGGGCCCACCTGCCCCCTCCCTCAGAGACATGCTCCTTCCGGGGGGAGGATCTAGAGGAAGGAACCAGGTCACCGAACAGAGTCCCCTCAGCCTCCTCATTCCAGCCCAGGCCTTCCCCTCCTGGTGCCGTCCAGTATCCACTTTTCAGCTCACCCTTCAAGGCTCAGCAGAGGACACCTTCAGGAAGGCCTCCAGGAGTCACACCCCAAGGGCCTCCTCCAGAACTCCCACTGATCCTGCTTCCCCCTTCCCTGGCACCCACTGCTCTCGTGCTTCTCAGCAGTGGCACTACTGACATTCAGGACAGGGCCACTCTCCAGGCTGGGCACTGGCCCACTCATGGGGCTCTGGGCAGGCCTGGTTCCTGCTACCAGAAGCCAGGAGCGCTTAGCATCGCTGTGACAACTGCAAGTCACCCCTACACTTTCCCCACCCCCAGATGGGAGCCACTGCATAGTTATATTTGGCTCCCGAGGCACCAACAACCTGGGTCCAGAGACAGGAAGGGTGGATCAGCACCCTTCATGCTCAGATCTGGGTGCTGTTTAGTAAACGAGCCTGGCCCCTCAAGAGGCCCAGTGCTTGCTCAAGAAGGTGGCAAAGCACAAAGGCTCAGGGCCAGCAGCATGACCCGGGGCACGTGATTTAACCTCTCTGAGCCAAATCCCAGCGACACCAAGGATGGTGTGACTCTCATCCCCTCACATCCGCTGGGGAGCACTGTGACAGGCATCCAGGGACACGATGCAGACAGGGTGGCACCCATCTGGCACACAGCGAGAACTCGGTAAATGATAGGAGGGTCGCTCAGCGCCACAGGGCAAGCTCAGCGTGCTCAGGCCCTGGGTTCAAGCCCCAGCACTCGCCATCAACAAAGTCCATTATTAACTCTTCTTTTGGTACCGAGGATCGAACTAGGGACCTTGCACTTGTGAGGCAGGCGCCGGAACCACTGAGCTAAATCCCTGGCCCAAACACTTTTATTATTCCAGGTGCAGGCTCTCTGCTCGCTTCCTGTACAGGAAGGTTTATGGAGCGCGGAGAGGGTGGCTGGGACTCACCCTACACTGTTGTGGGGTGGTTCGGGAAGAGTGGCAGTCCCCGCTTCTTCCACGGAACAAAGAGCCTTGGGGATGAAGCTACCCTCCTGTCCCTCCTCTTAGAGCGGGTGGAGAAATCTGCAGCACTGCCCTAGGGCACCCAAAGTTTCTACTCTAGGACTTTGGGAACCAAAGCCCAGGGTGAGGAAGATGAAACCGTCTTTAGGGAGGCGACGCGGCGTCCCACCCCGAGGGCACCGCCTCTTCCCCATCCCGCTCCATCCTCTGCATGGGCTGAGGTGCCACCTTTTCAGCACCAAATGACAGCAGCCGGGGAGGCAGGCTGGCAGAGGTGTGAAACACCCCGCTTCCCAAACTAGGCATCCAGGGCGTGGAGAGACGCCGTGAGAAGCTCCCGGCCAGCGGACCCGGTGGCGAGCCGGGCTGGGCCCAGCGTCCGAGGCAGACGGAGGACGCCAGCCGGGAAGGAAGGCGCCGCTCCGCATTCGCAGCCCGCTGCAGCCCCGGAGCAGATTTAGGTCAAAGGGACCCAGCCTGCCTGTGAGGTCCCAGCTGAGGGAAGGCGTGGGTAGGGGCGGTTGCGGGGGACTGGGAGGCTCCGCTCTCCCGCCCGCGTTCCGGTCTCCCCACCTGTAAAACGCGAGGGGTGGGCCCAGCCGCCTCCGAGACCTGGGTCCGCGCCAGCCCGGGGACCTCGGCCCCCAACTCCGGGACCGCCCTGCCTCGGCCTGACCGCGGCGGCCGAGGACGCAGGGAGGGTAGGGGAGCGGGTCGCATCCCTGCACGTGGCGGGGCGCGGGGCGGCGCACGTGGGTCCCCAGCTGAGGGCGCTCGGGCCGGGCTGGGCTCGGAGCTCTGTCAGCGGCCCCACGGTGGAGGTCTCCGCCCCGGGCGGGGGAGAGGGCGAGGGCGCCCCGGGCCTCGGCGGCTGCGTCCCCGCCCGGGCCCGGCCACTGCCCGCTCACCTGGGCTCCACGCTCCCCGGCTCCGCGCCCCCGGCTGCGCTCGGCTGGTTCGGCACGGCCGCGCACTCCTCTCCGCTGCCCGGGCGGGCGGGGTGCTGGCGGCGGGCAGGGAGGAGCCGCCCGCCTCGGCTCGACGCCCGCCTCGGGCTGCACGCGGATTGGTGCGGGCGGTGCGCGCTGTGCGGCGAGAGGCGGGGCTGGGGAGTTGGGTGGGCGGGGGAGTGGGCGGGGCGCGCCTGCGGAGACCGAGAAGGAGGGCTCGCGACTTCGCCAGCGGCGCACACCTGCCGCGCCCTCTCCAGACGGCTCGCTTTGTTTAGCGGAACTGGGGACTGGAGGGCGGCGGTGGAGCGGCAGGAAGTTCCCCCAGCCAGCGGGGAAACCCAGGATCCCGCCTCGGGCCAGGTTAGTGCCCTGGCGCCCCGCACTGGAGGCAGGGGGAATTTCGTGGGCACCCCGTAGGTGCTGTGGATCTCCACATGCCTTCTCGGGTGCTGGTCGCGCAGTACATCACGTACTTCCCTGGAGCCTCAACTGGGTTTCGTCTCCCAGCTGGGTAACAGCGGACAGAGGGTCAGGAGACTTGGGGGCTCCCTGACCCGGCGGCCTTATCAGGCCACCCAGACCTGGGTGTCACCTCAGGGATGTCTCCTGACCCTGCCAGACAGCCAAAGGGGAATCTAGGGTCAAGCGCCACATTAAAGGTTGAAAGCCCTCTGGTCGCGCTCCTCTGGTATTTCCAGGCTGAAGAGCTCTCACAGAGGTTCCGGGAGTCGGTGACAGATATTTCCAATGAGATGACCGCCTCTTCTCAGGTTACCAACATTCATGCATGCCTTTGTTGGTAATAGCAAAACCTGAGAACAACCTGCGCGTTTATCGGAGAAATAAGTAAATGAAATTCCGTATATTCATTTGAAGGAGTGCTTAACAACGACCAAACTAGACCTGGTGGCTGTAATCTCAGCACTCGGGAGGCTGAGACAGGAGGACCTCAAATTCAAGTCCAGCCTGGACATTTTAGCGCTTTAGTGAGACCTTACCTCAAAATTTAAAATAATAAAGGGGTGGGCATGGCTCTGGGTCGAATCCACAGTAGTGAAAAAAGAAAAAAATCCAAACCTTAGGCCAAGGTTCACCTCCTCCTAGAAGTTTTCTGAGATGTTGTGACCCAGGCCTTCCTGAACCCTCCTTTCTGATCTCCTGAGTCAGATACTATATATACAGTCTTATCTTCATTCTCTCTCCTTCTTGGTCCACTCCCCAGTAGCAGGGATTGAACCAGAGCCTGGCCCCTCAAACTAGTGATCCTCCTGCCTAGGACTCCCAGGGCACTGAGGCTACAGGCATCCACAACCACACCCCTTATACTTTGCTGCTTCCTCAGGGTTTTCCTCTTGCTTTGTGGTTCAGGGATGGGGACCCAGGTTCTAAGCTCCACCTTCACCCCACTCACAAGTTCGGCTATAACTCTCTGGGATCCACATCCACAACATTCATGTACTCTTAGTGACCATGACTTTGGAGTCTGATGGACTCAGTTCAAAGCCCAGAGTTATTGAGCTGGGGTGGGTGGCGCATGCCAGTAAGCCCAGGACTCAGGAGGCTGAGGCAGGAGGATGGCCATCAGTTCGAGGCCAGCCTGGGCTCCATAGTGAGTTTAAGGCTAGTCTTAACTACATAGCGAGACCTGTCTCAAAAATAAAAACAAAAAGCCCCGAGTTACCAGCTCCGTGGGCTCAGGGTGACTTGAACTCCCCTAGTTTGGTTTCATCACCTATCAAATTCAGATAATAGTACCTCACTCCTGGGCTTGGCATGGGCTTTAAATACAACAGTGTGTGTAAAGGAGTTAGCTAAGAGCCTAGCACATAAGTGCTCAATGGTGCTAGCTATTAATATACTTAGCTCTGAGCTAGAAACCCATCCATCTCTGCGCCTTTCTTCTTACAGTGAATCAGAACAGAACAAAGAAAGAATATCCTAATTACTGTCACTGACATGGAGCCTCTCTTCCGACAGGAATCTTCCCACATAAGGGAAACATTTTCTTACTTAAAAATTAGCTTTGTTTTTGAGTTTGTTCCTCCAGGAACACTAGAAAAATCCTGTTCTAGTCAAACAGATCTTGTTGTCCTGACAACAGATTGCCAGGAAAATAAGTAAACAAAGCTTCAGAATCTTATTTTTAAAGAAAACTTTGAATAGTACAAGGGAGGGGGCTGAAATGTCAGATTTTAAAATGATCTCACAGCTAGGATGGCGTCATCATCGCCTGCCAGGGCTCTGCCCTTCCTAACTGGGCTGTTCTGGGCCCACACCTGGTGTTCACAGGAAACTTCGACCTCCCCAGCCCAGAGTACCCAGAATGGAACAGCAGGATGATTAACCTCACCAATAATTGCGATCCGATCAAGTGAATTCTTTCCCATTGAGCAGAACAGAATGACAACAGCAAAAAACCCCCCAAAAAACGGAGCACAGTGGTGCACGCCTGTAATCCCAGCACTGGGGAGGCTGAGGCAGGAGGATCACTGTGAGTTCAAGGCCAGACTGGGGCTACATAGTGAACTGGAGGCCAGCCTGGACTACATATCAAGACTCTGTCTAAAAAACAAATAAATAAAACTTATAAAAAAGTGTAAACACCCAAAATGTCAAGACAAAATTTACAACACTTGGAAAAGGTAGAAATATTCCAGTTACACAGGTGAATGTATCCTGGTAATAGAGGGCAGGCTTCGAAGCGCATCCCGAAGGAGGTTCTAGGGCCCAGCTTCCTCCCCCATCTAACGGGGATGCCATTGAGCTTCCAAGCGCTGGGTACTTGATAAATGAAACTAGTCTGAAATGTTTGACAGGCTGAAAATATCCCTCCAAATATTACAGTACTTTTAGAATTCTGGGAGCAGGCAGCGAAATACAACTCTGCAGTCTGCTGCTTGTGTAACCTGTACAGGGCCTTTACCTCCTGCCCAAGTTTCTTCATCTGTTGAGTGGAATTAATGCCATCGCCCACCTTTCCGCATCCTCGAGGAGGTGAAATGTGTTCATGTATGCAAATTACTTCCAACAGGGCCTCTGGAAATACCAGTACTGCCATTCGCCCAGGGCAGGACACCCCGAACCAGCTGGGCAGGGTCCCCTCCAAGCCCCTCAGGCAGGCGGACGCCTTGCTCTTCTAAAGTTTGTTAGCAACCAAAGGCTCACTGGCTGAGAAGCTTCAACCGTCTTCTCACCAGACCTTCTCATGTAGAGAGATGACCAGTCCTTCCCCTGCACTAAGCCCCGTCATTCTTCCATTGGTCACTGTCTTCTCCCACCAAATGCTTTACCAGAGGGAAGCCGGTCAGCTGTCACCCCGTAGTAGAGTTCTGAGGTCACTCTGACAGCTCCATGATCTATCTGACCCACTGTCCCCTCTGAAGGTGGCCCAGCCAGCAAGCTGAAGGGACAGGGCGCAGGGACCCACACACCACTTCTGTTTGCCTGGATTCAGGCCCTGCCTCCCTGAGATGGACCCTGGGGGCTATGTGGGTGGCTCTGTGATCCCAGGGCCCCAGGGGCTATTTCTGGTGCTGTTTGCATTTTGGTGCAGGGCAGTGAACCCAGGTCCCTGCTCACTGAGCTACAGCCCAGCCAACATTCTTGGTTAACAGAAGCATCCCATTTTGGTTCAGCACTGGGCCAGCCCTCAGGAATCCCTGGTTTGATCCTGGTCAGGACTGACGCTTTCTGGTGTGAATGTTGACATCTTGGGAGCAGCCAATGCTCTGGTCCATCTCTCTTCTTCCGTGCAGCAAGTGTTTGTGGAGCTTCTTAGATGGGAAGGTTCCATACCACAGATCAGAAATGACATCCAGGCTTGGGGTGTGCTGCTGTCAAATGCAGCTCAGCATGTTAGGCCTTGGACCCAATCCCCAGCACCAAATGGAAGGAAAAAAAGACATCAGAGGAGAAAATATGTTTGCCTTACTGTTGCCTAGGCTAGCCCCAAACTTGTGACTCTCCCGCCTCAGCCTTCTGAGGAGGTGGGACTATAGGCATGGGGGACCACACCCAGGTTCACCCATGGTTCTTAAACATCAATACACCCACCAGGCATGGTGGTGCACACCTGTAACCTCAGCACTTGGGAGGCTGAGGCAGGAGGATCGCTCTGAGTTTGAGGCCAGCCTGAACCACATAGCAAGACCCTGTCTCAAAAAACCAGACCAACACACCCATTAGTTTCCCATCTCTACACTGTGGCTACTTTGCAGAGCAGCTGTCGGGCCAGCGATTGTGCCAGAAATGGATGAGTTACTTTTAGTCCTCCAAGAGCTCTGAAGGGGAAATGCTTCTCATTACAAAGTTCTATGTAATGGAGAAAGAGCCAGTGAGGGATGCAAAGTGTAGCTCGTTCCTCTTTCTACATAAGGACTCTTTGGGGACCCCTGCTCTTCGGGCCTGAAACACAGGGGTTTTCTGTAAACACTTACTGGCCAGAAACTTATTTTTTTGGTACCGGGGATCGAACTCAGGACCTTGCACTTGTGAGGCAGATGGCAGAACCACTGAGCTAAATCCCCAGCCCTTGTTTTCTGTTTTATTTTTTTAATTTTGTGAGACAGGGTCTTGCTATGTAGTTCACCCTAGTCTTGAACTAAGCATCCCAGTCTGGCTTCAAACTCATGGCAATCCTCCTGCCTCAGCCTCCTGAGTCCTAGGCTTGCAGGCATATGCCACCATCCTGGGTTTTTGCGGGGGTTTTTGATACTGGGGATTGAACTCGGAACCTTGCGCTTGCAAGGCAGGCGGTGGAACCACTGAGCTAAATCCCCAGCCCTATTTTTTGGGTTTTTTTTTTTGGTACTGGGGATCGAACTCAGGTCCTTTCGCTTGCAAGGCAGGCGGTGGAACCACTGAGCTAAATCTCCGGCCCGTCTTTTTTGGTTTTTTGAGACAAGGTCATGCTATGTAGTTCAGACTGGCCTTGAACTCCCTATGTATCCCAGGGTACCCTAAAACTTAAAGCGATCCTCTTGCCTCTGCCTCCTAGTGCTGGTATTACAGGTGTGGGCCACCACACCCAGCTTAGCAGCTGTAAATTAACACAAGGTTGGTATCCTTTGCTACCAAAAAGAAAGAGAAGGGAGAATAAAATGAGTATGTACTTACTAGCAACAAAGCAAGACAGACTGATCAGAAGAGAGTTTACTGACAAGACAAATGGGGTGGTACAGACCCGCCATCAACAGGGAGGCAGGGGCAGGGACAAGTCCAAAGCCTCATCCTCTGCAGTGGCCGCAGGGACAGTATCCAGAGGTGGTTTATGAGGGGCACCCACATCCTCCCTAGAGGTGCTTTATCGGGGGCACCTAAGTCCTCCCTAGAGGTGGTTTATCAGGGGCACCCCATGGGAGGGCAGCTCCTGATGCAGCTGCCGGAAGAGCATAGCGCATCTGTTCCTCTCCTGGGTCTTCCCCAGGGCATGGTAGAGTCTGGCCTGGAAGTAAACGACATCCCGGATGCGCTCTTTGCAGTCGACCTTTGCAAAATAGTTCTTGGCTTCATTGAGGTTCTCGATGGCGGCCTCCAGAGCTGACAGAGTGGGGAGACACCGCATACATGTTACTCAGCACTTCACACTCGGTTTTCCAAACCTGATAATCTCATTTTTATATCGCAGAAGGAGACGCTTTTACATTCCCTGTTCTTTAAGAGTTGAAATAACAAACTACGGTAAGGTATTTATAAGGCATTCAGTCTGGATTATTAGCCCAGGACCTGGCTCTATGGGGTTAAAATAAGCATTCATTTGCCCTCAACTTCCTGCTGAGGATGCTGTGAAGCACTTTAAACACTGCATGAGATTTAACATGTATTTGTGAACCCTCAGAACTCAATGATGCCCCCAACTGAATGTCTTTTCTTCTTCTGGCTCCTAGACATGAGCAGCTTTCAGCACAGTGCTGCCTAATGACACACGCATGGCTCCCTACCTTCTGCTCTCTTCGGAGGCTCGTAGGAAGCTGCCGAGGCCACCTGGCACTTGGCCACCAGGAACATGGCCCGGCCCTTGTCAAGGATGGCGCCGTCAGCCAGGATGGGCTCGATGGCCATGTGGAGGAGGGTCAAGGCCTGTTCCGGGATTCCCAGGATGAGCTGCAAGAGAAACATCACGGCCCTCACTGTTCCACCCACTGCCCGCCAGCAGCAGCACCTGCCTTTCTGCCTGTCCTGCCTCCCTGAGCAGCCACGTGTCCCCTGGCACAGACTGCATGGCCGTGGGCATCACCCCCTAAGGAGCAGAATGTGGGCGATCTGATTTTAGGCTGTGGGTTTTGAGAGAGGATCTCACTATGTAGCCAGGGTGGCCTCAAACTTGTGATCCTCCTGCCTCAGCCTCCCAGGTGCTGGGATCACAGGCACGTGCCACCATGCCAGGCTGACACTCTGATTTCAGACCACAACAGATATAGTAGGGAATGGTTATTCATGCTATGAAAAAGCGATTTTTTTGTCTTTAGGCCCTAAATTCAATCCCCAGTACCACAAAATACACACCACACACACACACACACACACACACACACACACACACACACACACACACACGGGAACCAAAATGGTACGCTAGGGAACAACTTTTTAGTACAAAAGTGAGCAGTGATGAAGGAATTGAAAGACAAAAAACATATACAGAAACAAATTTGGGCCAGGGAATTCAGAGTATGTGTGGCCCTTGGGTTTGATCTCCAATATAGCAAAATAAATAAATACATAAATAAATAGAATGAAATCAAGCAAAGGTCATTTTCTGATCACAGGAAGTGAATTTAAAAATCAACAACAAAAGGAAGTTTAAGGACCCCAAAATATCTCAAAATTAAAGAACACGCCCTTAAATACCCAAAGGAAAACTGCAAGGCAAATTAGAAAATCCTTTGAGTTATATATAAAAATACAACATACACAAAGACTTATGAAACTTATGGGATGAAATAAAAATTTACGGGATGCAATTCTCAGGGAAAATTAGAGCTGTAAAAAAAACCAAGAAAATTAGAGCTGTAAAGGCATATGTAACAAGACGGATGATCTCAAATTAATAGCTAACCTTCCACTTGAAAAGAACTAGAAAAAGAGGGCCGGAGATTTAGCCCAGTGGTTTCTGCAGCCTGCTGCACAAGTGCAAGGTCCCAAGTTTGATCCCCGGTACCAAAAAAAAAAAAACTAGGAAAAGAACAAACCCAAAGCTAACAGAAGCAATGAAATAATACAGATTAAAGGGCAGATAAACAAAATAGACAACAGAAAAGCCACAGAATCAATAAAAATAAGTTTGTTGTTTGGAGAGATTAGGAAAATTGACAAACTGTGAGTCAGACTGACCAAGAAAAAAAGAGACAAGACTCAAATAACTAAAATCAGGAATAAAGTGGGGACTTACCAACAGCCTTACAAAAACAAAAGGGATTATATAAGAATACTTCGAGGGCCGGGGCTTTAGCTCAGTGGTTGTGCTGCCTGCCTCACTAGCACCATCCAAGCTCAAGGACCTGAGTTCGATCCCCGGTACCAAAAAAACCCAAAAAGAATACTACGAATATTATGTGCCAACAAATTGGAATAGATAAAAACGGAGATTTCTAAAGATCTACCAAAACTGTCTTAAGAACAAGTAGAAAATCTGAATAGACCTACAGCAGGTCAAAAATAACTTGAGAGGGGGGACACTTCCTAATTCATTTAGTGCCATTATCACCTTAAGCCAAAGCCAAACAAAAGATATCACATGAAAAGTAGAGTGAGCTGGGGATTTAGCTCAGTGGTTCCACCCCCTGCCCCACAAGCATAAGGACCCAACTTTGATCCCCAGTACCAAAAAAAAAAAAAAAAAGTACAGATTGATATTCTTCATGAATATAGACAGAAAAATCGTGAACAAAATGCTGGCAAACCAAGTCCAGCAGTAATTGTATGTGTGTGTATGCACATGCGTGTGTATAGAACCCAGGGCTTTTGCACTAAGCTACATCCTCGGCTCCTTTTAAATTTCTTGAGACAGGATCTTGCTAAGTCAGGCTGAAACTTGTGATCCTCTTGCTTCAGCATCCTAGAGTGCTGGGATTATAGCTGTGCACATGATGCTCAGCCAGCAGCACTGTTTTGCTCTTTGTTGTTGTTGGGTTTTTTTTGACACAGGGTCTTATAGTGCAGGCTGGCCTCAAACATGCCAATCCTCCTGCCTCAGCCTCCCCAAGTCCTGGGATCACAGGTGTACACCACCACACCTGGCTTCCAGCAGCACTGTTAGAAGGATCATATATCATAACAATGTGGGATTCATCCCACTAATGCAAGGTCTTTCAATATATGAAAATCAATCCATGTAATATACCATGTTAATAAAATGGAGGGAAAACGCAACACAGGATGATCTGATACAGAAAAGGTATATGACAAGATCCAATGCCCTTTCATGACAAAAACACTCAAACTAGATACAGAAATTCCTCAATACAAAGGGCATCTATGAAAAAACCCAGGGTTCACATCGTATTTAATGATGAAAGGCTAAAAGCTTTCCCACTAAGGTCAGGAACAAGACAAGGAGGTTGACTCTTCCCAAAACTGTACTAGACTTCCCCAACCAATCGGGCAAGAGAAAGAAAGGGCACTTAAATGGGAATGGAAAAGCAGGGGGTGCAGATCAGTGGTAAAGGGCACACCAAGCATGCACCAGGCTCTGGGCTCCAACCCCAGCACCAAAAGAAGAGAGAGACAAAGAGAAGGAGAGACTGAGGGAGAGGGAGAGACAGAGGGAGAGGAACAGGGAGGGGGAGGGGAAGAAGAGGGAGACAGAAGCAGGGCATGGTGGTACACATCTGTAATGCCAGCACTTAGGAGGCTGAAGCAGGAGGATCACTGTGAATACAAAGGCAATTATGGGCAACAAAGGCAAGGCAGGGGGCATCATAATCCCAAACTTGGAACTATACTATAAAGCTACTGTGATAAAAAGCATGGTATTAGAAAAAAACAGACCTGAGGATCAGTGGAACAGATTGGAAGATGCAGAAACAACTCCAGACACACTCAGCCACCTAGCCACCTTATCTTTGACAAAGGAGCCGAACACCTTCACTGGAAGATAGCCTCTTTAATAAATGGTGCTGGAAAAATTGGCTTTTCACGTGACAAAGATTAAAACTAGACCCATCTCTTTCACCATGCACTAAACTGAAATCAAAATGGATCAAAGATCTAAATATTACAGAAACATGTGGGCCAGGGACTCAGCTCAGTGGTTCCGGCACCTGCCTCACAAGCGCAAAGTCCCCGAGTTCGATCACCCATACAAAAGAACAGAAACAATCTGCTGGAAGGTAGAACAGATAGAACTCTCAGACACTGGTGTAGGAAAAGACTTTATGAACAAAACCCCGATTCCATACGAAATATCACAAAAAAAAGTAACAACTGGGACCTCATCTTACTAAAAAGCTTTTGCACAGAAGAGAAACCCCCAACAGAGTGAAGAGACAACCCCCAGTGTGGGAAAAAAATGTTGCCAGCTGTTCCTCAGACAAAGGACTAATATCTAGAATAAAAAACTTTCAAAAAAATCAGACCCCCCCCAAATTTAAAAAACTCAATCCAAAAATGGGTATCTGAAATGAATAGACACTTTTCAGATGAAGAAGTAGAAATGGCAAATAAATACATGAAAAAATGTTCAACACATCACTGGTCATTCGAGAGATTAAAACAACACTGAGAGTCATCTCACTTCAGAAAGAATGGCCACTATCAAGAAATCAACCAGTAACAAATACGTGCACAGCTGTGGGGAAAAAGGAACCCTTTTCCACTGTTGGTGGGAGTGCAGACTTGTGCGACCACTGTGGAAATCAGTGTGGAGATTCCTCAAAAAATTAAAACTAGAGGTTCCATTCAACCAACCTATTCCCTTTCTTGGTATCTTCCTGAAAGAATTAAAAGCAAGTGATATATGCACATCCATGTTTACAGCGCCATGATGTGTAATAGATGAAGCTTGGAAACAGCCCAAATGCCTATCAACCAACAAATGGATTAGGGCCGGGGATTTAGCTCAGTGGTTTCGCTGCCTGCTGCGTAAGCGCAAGGACCTGAGTTCGATCCCCAGTACCAAAAAAAAAAAAAAAGGGATAAAGATGTGGGTTTTTTATACAATGGAGTACTACTCTGACATAAAGAAGGACGACCTTGAGACATTTCTAGCTAAATGCATGCACCTTGAGACCATACTCTTTAAGTGAGATAAATTGAACACACATGTTTAAATACTGAATTGTTTCTCTGGTGTGAGAAACCAGAAGTCGGGGCTGGGAATTTGGCTCAGTGGTTCCACCATCTGCCTCGAAAGCACAAGGTCCTGAGTTCAATCCCTGGTACCAAAAAAAAAGAAACCAAAAGTTGAAATAAGGACTAAAATGTACAATAGACATTGGGAAATGGGATGAAAACGTTCAAATGAGAAGGGAATCAGGGGAGGGAGGAGCGGGGAGGGAAAGGACGGGACAAGAAAAAGACAGAAAATCGAACAAAAAATGGAAATAAAGCTTTTGTATATAAGGAGAGGAAGAGGTGTCAAAGTGGGGGATGGGGAAAAAAAGAAACAAGATATATCCTATACAGGTACAAATTCCCTATGATGAATGTTATCATTATGTAGATCTAAAATGTACCAATAAGTGTTTTTGCATTAAAAAAAAATTAACAGGGCCAGGGACTTAGCTCAGTGGTTCCACCACCTGCCTCTCAAGCACAAGGTGCCAAGTTCAATCCCCGATACCAAAAAAAAATTTTTTTTTTTTTTTGGTACTGGAGATCGAACTCGGGTCCTTACACTTGCACAGCAGGCAGTGAAACTGCTGAGCTAAATCCCCAGCCCCCCAAAATTTTTTTTAATAAAAATAAAAAATAAAACAATGAACAATTCCTGGAGGAACATACACAAATGGCCATGAAGGACAAAAAAAATGCTTGCATCACTGTCCTTAGGGAAATCAATATAAAAACCACAAGGAGACACCACAAAAAATAAGCTTTGGCAAGTCTGTGGCAAAATCAGAGCCCTCATCCGCTGTAGGTCAGAATATAAAATGCAGCAGCCACTAGGAACCAATGAGCAACGTGTGCTGAAAATGGTGTGCCCGTGCCTAGAGAAATGGCACAAGATCATCCTATGACCCAGCAACCCCATGCTTAGGTACCTGCTCGAGAATGGAAACAGGTATTCAAAGAATATCTTTCCAGTGACAGCAGGCAGAAGGTAAACACCCCAACATCCACCATCTGACACAAGATGTGGCCGCCTGCGGAGTAGGGTGGGACCCAGCCACTAAAAGGCGGGGCTCTGATCGAGTCACACAGCCTGATGTGAGAGACAGAAGCCAGACTCAGGCCCTCCTGCAGGATCCGGCTTATCCTCGGGGGCCTAGGACAGCAGCTGGGGAGTGGCTGCCTCAGGGAATGGTCTCCTGAGTAATGAAACGCTCTGGAATCAGAAGGTGACCCGCGTGTGCAGCATTGTTAATATTATCAAAATCGCCAGACTGGGCACTTCAAAATGGTTAAAATGGTACATTGTATAGTACATTAACTTCATTTTCTTTAGGAAAGGAAAGAATCCCTGGGGGATCTGGTAAGGTGCAGCTCTGCGCAGTGGGGAGCAAGAGGACCAGGGCCTTCTGGGGACCAGGCCATTGGGCCAGGAATAAGCAGAGTCCGTTCCTTTGGGACCTTTACCCCGGAAGAAAGACAACAAACATAAAATATGATCTGATGTCCAAATTATCAGGGCTGGGGGTGTAGCCCCTGTAGAGCAACTGCTGGCACCACAAAAACAAAAGCAACCTCTCAGTGCACACCTGGTTTCCTCTTCTTTCCTCACAGCCCCTTGTTGCCCCATCAAGTGTGGCTCCGAGCTAATCACTACCACAGTTCAGGTCCTCGTGATGGGCAAGGCCCTTACTGACCGCACAGGACTGCTGGGAAGAGGACTGCTCGCCCACTCCCCTGCCACCCAGGAAAGCTCGGCACTGCCCATCTCAGAGCCACACTCGAGCATGAACATAGGCATGCAGGCAGGCAGGCAGGCAGGCAGGCAGGCATGCAAGCAGGCAGGCACGCAGCCAGGCAAGCACGCACGCACGCACGGAGATGGCCTTACCTGAGCGAAAGCCAAGTTGAGCACGGTCTCAGAGGCCAGGTACTGCAGCCGGTACTCCTTGGACAGCGCCAGTGCCTGCAGCAGCACAGGCATGGCGATGGTTGGGGATGCCGAGCGCCAGTACAGCTCGGCCACGGACAGCAGGACGCTGGCGACAGGAGGGAGGCGTGAGGAGCAGGACCTGCGACAGCGCCGCCAGCCACACAGGGGCACCTTACCTAATGACCATCTCCGTGTTCTTCAGCTTCTCGCAGTAGCTCAGCAGCTTCTGCAAGAGCTTGTGTGCCTCAGACATTTGGTTCTGCGCTTGGAGCACGACCGCTTTTCTGGGACAGAAGCACAACACACACAGCAGTTACACTCATGTCCACAGGTGCTTTGCAACTTTGGGGCGAAAACCTCATTTCCTTGGTTAAACTGCAGCCTCGAGAGGGGAAAAATGCCTCATTTTTGTTTTAAAAGACTGTACAGACAGGCACACATCTGCATGTGAGGGAAAAGTCGGGAAATACAGCTATCAGAATATCAGTGACCGGAGCCGGGGATTTAGCTCAGTGCTGCCGCCTGCCTTGCAAGCGCAAGGTCCTGAGTTCGATCCCCAGTACCAAAACAAAAAAGGAAAAAAGAGTATCAGTGAGCATCTCTAAAAGATATTTATTTTCTTCATTCTGCTCTGTAATTTATTCCCTGGATAGAAAAGTTTTTTCCTAAACTAATGTAAAGCGAATACACACACAAAGCAAATAAAAAGATAGTAAAAGTATAGCTATTTAAGAGCTATTTCACTCCAGACTTTCCCATGTGTCTTACCTGTATACGCCTTCTATGCTGTTGAGCGCTGTGATCCCGGTAACAAGGGAGTCGGCCAGATGGAATTTGCCATCGTTCATTGCTCTGTCAAACTGGATTTTTTGATCACACAGCATCCATAACTGATAAGGAAAAAAAAAAAAACAAGTACAAAATGGCAAATGTTAACACTATTATTCAATGGACATACAAAAGTATTCTGGCTTGCTTAGCAAATAGCCTTATCACAATTCACACACATTCTTTTTTGTTGTTGCTGTTGTTGTTGTTCTATTATTGAAACTAACAAACTGATTCTTTTTTTGAGAAAGGGTCTCGCTATGGAATGCAGGCTGGCCTTGAACTCACGGTGATCTTCCTGTCTCAGCCTCCTGTGTGCTGGGATCACAGGCATGCACCACACTTGACTCCTTTATTTTTTTGAGATTGAAAAACTTACTGATTTCAAGCATGTGAAAAAGCATGGAGAACAAAGCAACAAATACCTGTGTGGTACCCAGCAACTTTACCACCTCACATTTTGCTTTATTTACTTGATACTCTTAGATACTGCTGCTGTTCTTTGCAAGCTCCATCTCCTCACTTTTTCCACAGCAAGCACTCAATTTGGTGTTTGTCATCCCCTCAAAGGTCTTTTATTCTTTTCAACACATATACTCATCCTTAAACAATATATAATATAAGCCTGTATGTTTTTAAATTTTTAAACACTGTATGATTCCTTTGACAACTTCCTTTTCATCTCAGTGTTAGTTCTCTGAGAGAAGACTCTAAAATATCCTGCTTTATTGTAGAAAAAAGTATCTTTTCAAAATAAACCCATGACAGGTGTGGTGGCACATGCCTATAATCCTAGCACTCATGAGGCTAAGGCAGGAGGATCACCATGAGTTCAAAGCCAGCCTAGGCACACAGTGAATTCAAAGTCAGCCTGAACTACACAGTGAGAGCCTCTCTCAAACAAACCAAAAACAAACCAACCAACCCCCTAAAAGAAAGAAATCCATGTCATTTGAATGGGGGGCGGTTACCTGGGCATGCTGACTATTAGGTGGAAATCGTTCCTTCAAGTGTTTTAATACTTCGGAAGCAGCAGCAAAACAGCCCTGAAATAGAAGGACATCTGACTCGCACAACTGTGTTAAAATCACATTGCTCACCCCAGCACAATAGCCTCATGATCCACCTGCTCTTTTTCTGTTTGCTTTTTTTGTTGTTTTTTTGTGACAGGGTCTAGCTACACAGCCCAGGCTGGCCTTGAACTCTTGGTGATCCTCCTGCCTCAGCCTCCCCAGTGCTGGGATTACAGGTTGTGCCACCACGCCCAATCCACATGCTCTTGATGGGAGCCAGCTGAAAGACACTGCGCAGCAATGTCATATTTCAGGAGACATCTTGTTAACGGAATTTTATATATTGAAAAAAACTTTTAAAAAATACACATGTAAGCGCAAGGTCCTGAGTTCGATCCCCAGTACCAAAAAAAAAGTAAAAAATAAAAAATACACATGTAAGAAATGTTCTTTTACAAAAATGCATGTAAATGATGAAGAGACAAATTACTTTTAATTGCACCAAAGATAATCAATTATGTCTGGAAATCTCTCCTTCTAGGCTTCTTTTATTGATTGATAACTTTTTTTTTGGTACTGGGGATCGAACTTGGGACCTTCCGCTTGCAAGCCCGGCGGCGGGCGGAACCACTGAGCTAAATCCTCAGCCCTAGGCTTCTTTTATGCAATAAATATAAATTATATAAGTACTCCAAAAATAGCTATACATATTATTTTTGTAAATTATATATAACAATGTTTACTACATGGTAGGCACTCAGTATTGTTTGAATGAATCAATCTTTCCAGTGTCAATAAATACAAATCTGAGGTGGGTATAATGGTGCACATCGACAATCTCAGCACTGTGGGAGGCTGAAGCAGGAAGATCAGAAGTCTGAGACCAATCTAGGCAATTTAGCAAGACCCTGTCCCAAAATTTAAAAAAGATAAAGGGATATAATTCAGTGCAAAGGGCCTGGGTGCAATCTCTAGTATCACAAAAGAAACATAAATCTGTATCATCATAATATTTCATTAGGTAAGTAAATTATGGAACATCAAAAGAATCTAGTTGTGGGGCCGGGGATTTAGCTCAGTGGTTTCGCCGCCTGCTGCGCAAGTGCAAGGACCCGAGTTCAATCCCTGGTAACAAACAAACAAAAAAAAGAATCTAGTTGTGGATATTTGGTTGTTTCTAACCTTTCATTTAAAAAATGCTACAGTGAAGGGCCGGGGATTTAGCTCAGTGGCACAGCACCTGCCTCGCAACCATAAGGTCCTGAGTTTGATCCCAGTACCAAAAAAAGAGAAAGAGGCTTCCCAATTTCTCTCCCGTGAAAGACAGCTTTCAACAAAAGGCAACTGGCTGAAGCAACACAGCCTTTAATTAATGCCCTGTAAGGAGAAGCAGGTGTGATGACACAAATGTCATCCACTTCCCACAGCCTTCTCTGGAGTCAACCAGATGTGGGCTGGAAACGTGACTGACAGCTACTGGTGCTGAGTGCAGACTGGGCTCACACACCTTGGTTCCTTGTTCTGTGAAACTGGGTTAACAATACCACTGCCCTACAGGGTGAGGTGGTGCACATCTGTAATCCCAGCACTCAGGAGGCTGAGGCAGGAGGATTGCCAAAAGTTCCAGGCCAGCCTGGGCTACATGGCAAGTTCAAAGCCAGCCTGAACTACACAGCAAGACCCTGACTCAAAAACAACAATTTTTTAAAAATATAGCTGACCTCATGAGGCTACCAGAAGGATTTAGTAAAGCAGCACACATAAAACACAGAGCCCAGGGCCGGGGATTTAGCTCAGTGGTTCTGCCGCCTGCCTCGCAAGCTCAAGGTGCCAAGTTCGATCCCTGGTACTGAAGGGAAAAAAAAAAAAAAGGATCCCAGAGATCTCTTTGGGCCAGGGATTTAGCTCAGTGGTTCCGGCGCCTGCCTCACAAGCACAAGGTCCCTGAGTTTGATCCCCGGTACCAAAAAAAACCACAGAGCCCAGGTCTAGCACAGGACAATGTAAATAAACGTTAGCAATTACCATTTCATATCATTATCATGCTTTCACTATCCTCTCCCCTCCTACAGACACACACCTCTAGTACCTTACTCTTCCTTGGCTTCTTTTCATTCCATTTGTCCTATCAAACCACCCAACCCCTTTTCCCTTCATTGATACCCCAAAAGATCCCAAGTTCCCCAAGGCTTGTGGGCTCCACATTTAGTCTCCTTCTGGTGTGGTTTCACTCCTCAGTCACCTGCGCCCAGCCTCAGGCCAGATGTGTGCACCAGAAGCACCTGGCCTGCCACCCGGCAGGTCTGGACAGGAAATGTCCCCAAGGCCTTGGCCGCCAGCCTGTTGCTCCGCTGAACAGTGGTGAGCATCTAGGAGCCAGGCCTCATGGAAGGAAGCTGGGTCACTGGGCCGTGACTTTGGGGCGATGCCAGGACCCATCCATGTCCTTCCCTGTGCTTCTAGGCCGCTGCAGTGTGAAGAGACCGTGTTCACCATCCATTCTCCCCACAGGGCCAGCACCCATGGAGCAAAACCTCTGAAACAGTTGAAACTATACTACTAAGCCACTGTGATAAAAACAGCATGGTACTGGCAAAGAAACAGACCTGAGGATCAGTGTAATAGATCAGAAGATGCAGAAACAACTCCAGACATACTCAGCCACCT